CTGTGTTCAGTTTTGGTCCCCACTATACAAAAAAGATGTAGACAGGCTGGAGAGGGTCCAGAGAAGGGCCACAAAGATGATCAAAGAACTGGGAAGCCTGCCGTGTGAGGAAAGGCTGAGAGAACTGGGTTTGTTCAGCCTTGAGAAAAGAAGGCTTAGGGGAGACCTTATCACCATGTTCCAGTATTTAAAGGATGGCTACAAAGAAGATGGAGACTTCCTTTTTACAAGGAGTCACATGGAAAAGGCAAGGGGTAACGGGTACAAGTTAATCCTGGGGAGATTCTGATTGGACATAAAAGGAAAAGTTTTCACAATGAGAACAATCAGCCGTTGGAATAATCTCCCCAGGGAGTGGTGGATTCCCCAACATTGGACACTTTTAAGATTCAGCTGGACAGGGTGCTGGGCCATCTTGTCTAGACCGTGCTTTTGCCAAGAAGTTGCCAAGAAAGGTTGGACCAGATGATCCTTGAGGTCCCTTCCAACCTGGTATTTATGATTCTATGACAAACATATATATATAATTGATAGAATATGAAGGATTTGTCAGTTTATAAAGCGGTTTTAATCAATCTGTCCATAAAGCGATTGATCTTCTTGTGCATTCAGGTTTCAGTTATGGGTTCCTCAAACAGGTGAGGAGGGAGCAGAGAGAGGAGGAAGAGCATCCCTTTCACACTCGGTTTGGCCTCCATGGGTTTCCAGTGCTCTAGTAGGGCACCCCACCTGGCAAGTACGATGCTATAGTAAAGCCGCTGGATCTGAACCAAGTCCACTCTGAATGTAATTCTTGTTCTTGGCAATGTTCGTGGTGGTTAGACTCCTTTATCTTGGGATGCGAGATGCTAATACAGGTGCCATAGGCATGGGTGAAGCTCCAGACTGCCTTACTTGTCTCTGTCTACTCCACCTTCATTGGCTTGTAGCAAGAGCGTCTTGAGGGACATGCAGATTTGGAAGAAATATCAGAAAGTGTTTATTTTGAGCAGAAGAATTATGGATCTAAATAACTCGGCAAATACTTGCATGTAATCTCCCCCTGTGCTTGTCATGTAGGAGTCTGCTCCAAAATCCACTTGTGTACTGATAAGGTAGACATTTCCTGGGCCACCTTACATCAGTGCTATTTCCACTGCTGTCGGTGGGTGGTTTTTCCCTACCCAGAGACCTCATTTCTTATAAATATAGCCTGGCCTTGCAGGAATCTGTTCCTTGCTCAGGTTGTCTTAACAAACCCGGTACAACTGTTGCTGAAGAAGTGAATTAATTAATGGAGTCACTGGCAAATCATTACTGTTTGGGCAACATCTCTATCACATTTCACGTTACTGCAAACACTGTTTCCATAGTGTTGCCCACAGCCCCATCTCTTCTTGTTAAATGTCATGAGCAGGACATTTAAACGGTCTTGACAGAAGGTGCTGAATATGGTTCGATAAAAAAATGGGAGCCTGACAACCTATTCTAATCTGAGCCCATAATTTAGAAGTGTGCCAATGTTTGCAATTTTAAGTTGGCTACAGATGATAGTAGGGAAGTAGTACAGCACAGCAAACAGGAGCTAAAACCCCTGAGCTCATCACAAGAGCCAATACTTCTAGTATTTTTGCTACTGGATTTCTGTTTTTAACTTGGAAGAGAAGGTGATATATAAATGGTCCTTGTGCATACCTTTAGCCTGCGTTTTATCGCAGTGCCTGACTCATGGAGGTGGCTAAGAAGCAGCAGTTCCTTAAACCACGATGAAGGTGTCAAAGTTTTATTTAGGACTATGTGAGGTCTAATAACTATCATATAAGCTAAGAATTAGCACCACCCCTTCAATCTTGGACTTGGAAATATCTAAAAGCAAGACCAATGCCATGTAAGAGTCTTGTTTGCAGAATTTCATACCTTTTTCAGTTGTTACTGGGAGGTTGCACAGAAGAGGTGGCTTCATAGCGTCCAAATCCCTCCTGCTTCCTGAGGTACATAGGGGTTTGGATACCTAGAAGCTACTTTGTCTACAGTTTTGTGAAGGTCTATGTATGATGATCATTAGAATAGTTAGGGTTCTGTAATGAGTAAAGCTCTCTCTGCCTCTCAGGGAAATCTTGAAGAGGGCGCTGAGGAAACAGGCATCTCGTATTAGACCAGCTGCGATTTTTTTACACTTCTAGTTGATACCTAACAATTCGCTGGGACTATTGCCTGGAAAGATACGAACCTCTCACAGACTTCTAGGAGACTTCCCAGCTAGAACGCAGTCTGGCCGCTGTCGTTAGAGACAACAAAAAATGTTTTTACAAATATATTAATGGCAAAAAGAGAGCCAAGGAGAATCTCCATCCTTTATTTGATGCGGGGGGGAACATTGTCACTGAGGATGAGGAAAAGGCTGAGGTACTTAATGCCTTCTTTGCTTCAGTCTTTAACAGTCCGACCAGTTATCCTCAGGGTATTCAGCCCCCTGAGCTGGAAGACAGGGACGGCGAGCAGGATAAACCACCATGGCAACGAAGCTGGTGAAGGGTCTGGAGAACAAGTCTTATGAGGAGCGGCTGAGGGAACTGGGGTTGTTTAGTCTGGGGAAAAGGAGGCTGAGGGGAGGCCTTATCGCTCTCTACAACTACCTAGGAGGCTGAGGGGAGACCTTATCGCTCTCTACAACTACCTGAAAGGAGGTTGTAGCGAGGTGGGGGTCGGTCTCTTCTCCCAAGTAACAAGCGATAGGATGAGAGGAAAGGGCCTCAAGTTGCGCCAGGGGAGGTTGAGATTGGACGTGAGGAAAAATTTCTTTACTGAAAGAGTGGTTAAACATTGGAACAGGCTGCCCAGGGAAGTGGTTGAGTCACCGTCCCTGGGGGTATTTAAAAGGAGTGTAGATGAGGTGCTTAGGGACATGGTTTAGTGGGCATGGTGGTGTTGGGTTGATGGTTGGACTCGATGATCTTAGAGGTCTCTTCCAACCTTAATGATTCTATGATTCTGTGAGTCCCTGGAGTCAATCTTATCTTGCTGTGCAACAGCTCTCTATTCCTATACTGCGTGATCTCACTCTGGATTTTCCCTGATAAACTCAGCATATCTACTCAATGCTCTTCACCTGTATGTGAAATAAATATTTTCATTTGGGGTATACTTATGCATATATTTATAGTAATTTGGTTTTCAATATGAATAATTAACTGTTCTGTCTGCAAATCTAAGGAAACTTCAACCTTTGTGGGATACATGTGTGTACGTTTATGCATGATTGTGCATATGTTTGCCCAAGATTGCTAAAGGATCTCCAAGAGGTCTTGGATGAAGATGGTAGTTGTCACATCTTCTCCTTTGGCATAATGGAGATGAAGCCCCTGTGTGGCAGACAGAGGTTTTCTCAGTCCAGGGAAGTGTGAGGTTACACAACAAACAGAAACTAAGGATCTTAAGGAAACCCTACTTCTCCCACTTAAAGGTGCGTAGGTTTAAAAAAAAAAAAAAATTCTGTACCCTCCCTTCTCTGCAAAACAGCTTCTGCTGTTCACATTCCCCCCTCACGTTTGAGTATGAGAGAACAAACAACACAACAAATCTTAGGTATGATGTTTAATACATAGCTAGAAGGTGCTCAGATTACTGTACTGCCAAGAACAGTATCATCATCTGTAGAGGGCAATTCTGCAGATTTCTGCAAGTGCAGTATTTACAGTTCTGTGGATTGAGCAGACTAAAGAGGTGATGGAAGTATAGTGAAGAGCAAAATTATGAAGCTTCTGGTTTTAAATATTGCCTGTGCCCTTCAATTGCATTTATGCATATTTTGTTCACTTTCCTATAGAAATATAAACATTTTATTTAAATGTTGATTATTTCAGGTAACAAAAGAAGAGGAAGAACTTACAGCAGAGGAAAGAAGGAAACTGGAAAGAAAATTAAAAAAAGAGCGCAAGAAGAAAGAAAAACAGCTGATGAGGGAAGCTGGAATCTCTACTAAAAAGGTGGAGGCCAAAAAGCAGTCGGGATCTGAGCTGGCTCTGGCCTATTTAACCAGGTAAGAATACTAAAACCGTTGCAGGTGCTCCCTACAGAAGTAAGCTGTAAACTGTGCCAGAAATCCAGAACAAGCTGAACCAAGTAATAACACATTAAAGGAAATTGCTGTAGTTAAGTACTAAGTTAATGTTTCATCTCAGTTGACACCCTATCATACAGGTGATCACCCCATTGTATTTATATCACAGGAACAACTGAAGGATGTTAAATACGGTGCAAACATTTTATAGAAAGACAGCTCCTGTCCTGAAGATCTTATTGTTGATACATAAATATCACTGGGTTAGCTGCACTTACAAAGATGAAAGGCACATTGCAGAAAAGATTGCATGGAGGAAATTAGTTTTATTTCTTAAGTGCACTCTTTTAAGCAGAGGAGTTTCAGTTATTCTCTTTATATAAGCAAACTGCATGAAGAGGTTAAGCATGGAGTCTGAATTTAACCGACTGCATGATATTTGGATTTTTGTAAATTAAGATGGGATTATGCCATTATTTTAAAGTTAATAGTGTACAATGCCTTATTTTTGCATACCAAAGTATATAGCAAGTATAGTGGCTGATTTCAGATTGGAAGCAATTACTTCATCTAGTTAGCGTACTTTTTTAGAATACTTAAAATTCCACCATAAAGCAAAGTCTGTGGTTGAAATAAAGGACTACAACAAAGCATTCATAGTACCCTACAGACAGTAAGAGGTCATGTATAAACAGGACGATAGTGTTTATTTTTTTCCAAACTGCAAAATATACCCTGTCTGCAAGACCTCCAGAAGACTGGCGTGTTACAAATAGCGGGTTACCACATGGAATAATTCCAGGGTTACATCTCTGGCCATGCTCAAAACTGAAGCATCCAGACTGTCTGAACTGTTACTTATCACTCTCAGTGGGGAGGGAGGAAATTAATTGCATTCCAGGCAGAGGGACTTGTGCATTTTTGTTATGTAACCCTCAGCACGCAGCGACAGCAAAATGACAATAATATTTTTGATCTGGAAAACAGCTGGAGTAGTTCAACACTGTTTTGAACTGCAAACAGATTGACAGCTTTGAACCATCTGCTCAGACTATACTCTGGTATGTGTGCTAGTAAGTGGTGGATCTAGAGATAATGGTTTTCAGGTTTGGAAAGCAAAGGAACAAGCCATGGGTTTTTGTTTGATATTCCACTGTTATCTGTATGGATTTTTGCATTGTTAGGTGCGAGAATATGAAACTATATTTGAACTAATATTTGAACCAATTTGACTCTAAGAGTTTCACTCAACCTGTACCAAATTACCTTGAAATAGTAAACCTGCTATGTTATTTGGCCTTGTCATACACAGAGTCCAAGGGCTATACGCACAACACTAGGTTGTGTGGAATTACTTCTGCAACAGACAATTTGAATTTTCTAGACTTAACCGGGATAGTCGTAAGATGCTGAACTGCCAAGCAAACATAACCATAGACAGTGTTCAAGACCCAAATGTCCCAGAACCATCTTGCACCATTGTAAATTACAGAAAAACAGCTTAATCCTTTTACACCTCAGATGTTTTTCAACCCAGCAAGATTGGAAAAAGAAACAACTGGATTTAAAGTAATCAGAGAAGTAATATATTAGCTGGGGAAGGGAAACTAAAATCCAAGCTCTGGAAGTCCATGGTAAAACCCCCAGCAACTTCAGTGGGTCAAGGATTTCAGTTTATGTGTTTTTGTAGGGCTACAGGTGTGAATAATATGTGGGAGGATAAGTTAATCTTAGAGATGCAAGAGATTAATATAATTGGAAGTAAACCGAAGGGTGCTGTGGATTTATGTTTTGCCCCACCTACAATAAAAAGTCTTACATGACATAAGGGTTGCTAAGTGAAGTGGCATCTTAATTCCCTGATGACGTGAATCTCCTGTAGCACAGGTGGAACTTGAAGTACCATATGATAACTAAAACTGTCATTTTTATTTACTAAGAGACTGTTTGCAGCATGAGAGCACAAGCATATGAGGCTTTAGGCTATGGCAGGAAAATATTGAGTTTGTTTTAGTGAAATGTTGTTTGATAACTTTAAAAGAAAAATGCTAGATAGCATTCAGTGAAAGATTTTTGTTACACATCTAGACTTTCGACATGCAAGGGAAAATTCAACTTATTTTGTATGTCATATGTATTTTAAGAGGTAGTAGTTCCCTCAGAACGCAGAATCATCTTTTCTGGTATGTGGGATTCTTCACCAGGAGAATAAATTTCCGTTTCAAGGAGTGAGGTCAGGGAGAAGTAGCAAAATTTTACTTGGAGGAAATAAAACATAGTTAATAACAGTTACTGTTTTGTGGGGGGGTCCTGTGCTTAGAAAGCTCTGCTTCTGTGATAGCTTTGTATGTTCCATTTAAAAAATAAAATGGAAGTAGCAGGCAGCCCACAGGCAGCACTCCTCTCTTTGCTGAGGCAAAGGTGACTTTCACAAAGATGTGCCTCATCCTTTCAGTCGAGATGAGTTAATGAAGAGAGCATTGATGAGAGGGAGTAAGGCATGCAGCGTGCAGGGGGCAGGACCACTAATTGCATACTGCCCTTCCTGATGGCTTTGAGACCAGCACTGCAGCAGCGGAGCTAGATTCAGGGCGATGTTTCACACGAAGAGCAATGTTAGACCAAGGCACGTGGCCGTCCGTGACAGCACTGCCGCTGTGCGCGCCCGCTGCTGGGGACTGCTGGGAGTCTTCGTAAACCTCCGTACTGCTGGGTACAGTGTGCTACAAGCTGACCAGTTCTTCCAGTTTTCCAGGTTTGTTGTTAGAGTCTAAAAACAAATAGTCTTTGATGCTTTGCCAGCCTCCAGAGAGGTCAAATTATCATTTTATTGGAGGACCATCCTAGCAATTGAGAGGCTTTTTCCCCCCATGCATATGGGATGGCCCCATGCAACAGCAGCTGATGCCAACTAGCAAACTGCAGTCCCTAGCTAGACCTGAGGGTGAGCTGGGTGACATTGATAGCCCAGGCTTTTCAGCTGCTTTCTCATTTGAATGAGACCAGGACGGGCATCCACCAGGTTAAGCACTCCTAATAGAGCAGAAGCAGCCAAATGGCTCCTGGTTTTTTCCTCTCTCACTTTGTGTTGGCCTGTGGGAGAAGGAAAGGAGGAGAAAAAAATGCCTTTGCTTCACCATTTTTTATCTCACCTTTTCCCTCAATGAGATAAGCTCATCTGTCTGATGCAGCAATCACAGCATGCCTGTGGAAACGGAAGAAAGTCACCACTGTCAGATTCTCCAGCTTGCTGGGGCAGCAGAGAGGGAGATCTGAAGATACATAGAGGATTAAAAATAGGGAGCTAAAGTGAAGAGGGAAGCAGAAAGGTTATAAAACTATGAGCAGGAAAAAAGAAAATGTGGAATAATGAAAAAAAAACAACCAGAGTGGTACTGAACAGAAGAGGAAAAACGCTGTAAAACTATTGCAGAGGAATAGGGAAGAGCAGGAGTGAGGGAGTATTAGTGGTTGAATAAACTGCACAAATCTCTTCCTTTTAATGATGATAGGCCTTTTTTCTTTATGATGGTAAGTGATGATTCAGGTTTAAAGCCAAGATTAGAATGTCTCATTACTTTGATTCTTGGAAAATATAAAATAAAAATCCATCCTTTTCTGAGCATTAAGCGCCTTCAAGTGAAAAGATGTTGCAATTCATGAGAATGGTAATTAGACTTAATTATAACCTAACTGACCTTCTGTGGTGTTAAAGTGTTGGCAGAATTTGTTTGTCTTGGCAAGCCACTCTCTCCTAGAAACATTTCTGGTTTTGTGCTTGGCTTAGAAAGTTAATTGCTGTTTGGATCTGCCCATATGGTTTTCTCCATCACCCATCAAAGGAATAGACAGAGATCTGAAAAGATGTCACTAAAAGTATGTGGAATTACAAGATTGGTATCATCTGAAGTAGAAGTAATAGATACTATCGTTAGCTGGATATTGCTGTGAATTATCTAAGCCTTGCAATATTATTTATCACGTGTTAAAATTTCAAAAATAAGCTGCTGGAGTACATTTATTTTCTCTCTGTAATGATTTATGTTATACTAGTAATATGTGTCACCAGAACGTTTCCCAAAGCATTGTCTTTTCAGTTTCCTTTATAGATCTTACTTTTCTCATCCCTAACTTAAATTTGGGTGAGATTCAGAAAATGTCAGAGACTTCTTTCGGGGGGAAAAAAAACCTTATAATGCTTATAAGAATAATACAAACCAAGGACACGTTACAGAAACACAAAAGTGAGACACAGAATTTCCTGTCGAGTGGGGAAATAATCTGACTCTGCAGAACACAAGGTGGTTTTTGCTGAGTGCAGTGGCAATACTGCTGAAAGCAGTGTACAAACCAGGGCGGTTGTTTATCTGCTGTGTTTGCAGAATGGAAACAGATCCCAGTCCTCAGCCAAACTTTATTAGAAACAGTGCCAAGCATGGGAGATTTTAAAGCTGAAATGTTGCTCTTCCTTTCAAAGAACATAGAAATCTGAGGGGCATTGCTGTAAGCATTTATATGTATATCTCTATATTCATTTGCTTATATATATTTTATGTATAAAGTATATCAAGTTGATGCTTACTCCTGCTGGAGCAGAGGCCATCTGGAGAAGGGAATTAATAGGTAGCTTAGTGTTCATTCAGTGTTAGCATCTAGGAAGTTTCTGATTTTTGAAGGAACCAGTGGAAGCTCGTCCTGGGCTGTAAAGAAAGCAGCAACATTTGAGATTTGTGGCCAAACAGCTGAGATGAAGGTGGCCCTTCAGGAAATCACAAAACCATTCACCTTACCACGTTTGGGACCAGGTGTCTATATTGAGAGAGCTTCTGCACAAATACAACCACATTTATTAATGTTGAAAAATAGTTTCTAAATTTACATCAAGTGGGCTTGTGTCAGGTTTAGTTTGCTTCGTTGATCCATAACATTTTGGCTGATTTTCCTCTCACTCTTAAGTACTTTTTTTTTAGCTGCGGTCA